AGATGTCTAGTATCCTAGGCAAACAATGGCACAGAAATATATTTAAATGTTTTATGTTTCCAAAGTAAAATCAGGTTTGTAGAAATATAATATGCCCTGATTTGGTTTTGCCCCAACTCCAGTGAATGAAAATGTCTGCATTTCTGTTTACTTATGATCAAATCTAATTTTCCTTCCCCAAAGTAGCAGCTTGCTTGCTACTCTGGGTAACAAAAAAGATCGCTCTTCAACTCCCACGATCCCAAATTTATTTGGCGATTACACAATTCCTAGCAATTATCATTGCTCAGAGCTAATGTGAATGCATACAAGCCAGGCTCCTCACACTGAGCAAATGTGACTTCTACCACAATTAGAAACTAAAACATCATCAAGAAATCAACTTTTGAAGAAAAGCATTTCTCTGGCAACCTGTTAAATGCACACAGGAAGTCACTCATCACTACGTTCCTAAACCTGGTGCTTTATTAAATAAAAAAGTTAATAAAAGCAACACTTCATTGAGTGCCTGGCATATCTTGAACACAGTGCTAAATTCTCTGCCAACATTGTCTCAGTGAGTCCTCACAACCCGGCAGCAAGCAGGTTTAGTTCCACTTCACAGATACAAAAACCAAGGCTGAGAAAGTCCACGTAATTTGCTCAAGGGTCCCATGACGAATAAGAGCCAGGTTACACATGTCTGTAGCGCCAATGCCCCATCCCATTTGAGAGCTGTACCTGGAAGTAGCCAAAGTGAGGAGTGCACTAGGGTTCACTACCATCAATGACCTTAGTAACCAATCTCAGGAGTGCAGAGAGCCTCACCTGCAAGCTTCTCTCCCATCATCTGTACTGGATTTCCACTGTTGCCCTAACAAATTACCACAATCTTAGCAGCTTAAAACCACACAAATTTATTATTTTGGTTCACAGGCCAGATGCCCAGCAGCTCAGGACCTCAAAATCAAGGTGTTGGCTGGCTGAGCTCTTAGTAGGAGGCCCTGGGAGGAAATCTGTTTCCAAGCTCATTCATGGTGTTGGCAGAATCCAATTCTTTGTGATTGCAGGACTGAGGTTCCCCTGCTGGTCATCAGCTAGAGGCCTCCCATAGCTCCCTGAGATCTCTCTCTGGTCCTTGCAAGTGAGCCCCTACATCACAGGGCCGGCAACTGTGCCTCCAAACACAGGCTTGGAATCTCTCTTCTGAATGCCTGTTTCATAACCAGCCAAAGTTCCCTGTGCCCATGTGGATGGTCCAGAATAATCACCTCCCATCTCCCAACTCCAGGTAACCTTAATCACATCTGCAAAGTCCCTTTTGCCATGTATCGTATCAAATTCACAGAGTCTGGGGATTAGGGCATGGACCTTTGTTGGGACCATTATTCTGCTTTCAATCGTTGAGATGTGAGTGAGCACTTGATCCTCATGGGTGATTCTAGAACATGCTGCATCTTTCACCTAATCTTAGGAACGGGATCCACAGGAACATAATTTTAATGACACTGGTACATAAGACTGCCCACTAGGCTGTATGGGAAAAGATCACCTGGCCAGTGTCACAGCTAAGTCAAGGTTTATGCCGGTGTTAATAAGCCAGGCCCCTAAACATGACCTGCCAACTCAAGGCCAAGGGGGAAATATGGGCTGGTAAATTTCACAGGCAGCCCCCCAGTGGAATGAATCAAGAGGAACCAGCATTTCCTGCCTTTGCAGAAGGGGCCTCAGATCAGCTGTTTACTTCTTTCCCAAGTTTACAAAATAAATATACAACTGAAGTTTACAAACAATGCTTCAAACAGATTCCAAGTACTTGCAAACAATGAGCTGTGATTCATGTTTCCAAATGAGATGGAGTTTTATCATTTTCTTTCCCCTCGTGATTCATTCATGGGCCAAGTGGCCGAAGTGGAAGTGTGGTCCACCCACAGAGCCACCAGAGTGCCTCCAGAGAAACACAGCCCTGTTGTTAGGCTCCGGAAAAAATGCTGGGGTTGGTATGGGGGTGGGGTTCTCCGGTAATTTTCCCTTAGGTAGAAACAGCCAATCACCTACTGGAAATAAATCTCTACATCCCAGCACCTACATCCTTCCCACTCAGTACCCTCTGTGAGAACCACTAAAATCTCACTGCACACTTCCAGACAAGTGGGAAGCCTGGGATGGCCCCAATGTACTCATGCTCAGCTCCCCTCCCACCCTTTCCGATGGTGGACTCTTGTTAAAGTGCCTCTGGATGCTGCCGGAGTGATGTTGTCTCACTAAGGCCTACCCAGCGAGCTGTCATCTCCACCCAGCGAGGGGAAGCAGAGCAGTCTCTCCTTTACCTTCAACCCTTCACGTCTTTCCTAGAATTTCCTGGCAAAACCATCCCAGATACTTTTTGCCTTTTAAAATTTTCCAACACAAAGTTTTCTTAAGTTTTTAAATTTTACTTTTTCTTAATCGAGCATGGAGTTTTCTTAAAACCAAAGTATTAGCAAAAGATGTGATGTTAGAAGTCACTACCATGAGTGCTGGTGAAGCTTCTGGAAGGTATGAGACTCAAGGGCTCACAGCCCCCTCCTCAAGGAGACCCTGCTCTCCTGTTCTTTTTGGTCTTCTCCTGTTCTTTTTGGCTACACTATAGGATGGATCCTCACTGACACCATTCAGGTCACCCTGGGAGCAGACGAAAGGGAAAAAGGTCTCCTTTAAAATGTAGTGTCCCAAAGAGAAGCCATCCCCATCTGCAGGCAAGGATAGGACACCGTGGCAGCTGAACCCAGGGTGGCCACACTTCACATTCAGGAGGCACCACTTACTAGTGATGTGAGTTCAAGCAAGCAATCCACCTCTTCCTTGCCTTTGTAGAATGGGAGCAGTGATGGTCCCTACCGCAACCCTGATGACCCCACTGCAACCTCATAGCCCCCACTGCACCCCAATGGCCCTCACTGTACCCTCATAGACCCCAATGCACCCCGATGGCCCCCACTGTACCCTCATAGCCCTCACTGCACCCCAATGGCCCCCACTACACCCTCATAGCCCCCACTGCACCCCGATGGCCCCCACTGCACCCTCATAGCCCCCACTGCACCCCGATGACCCCCACTGCACCCTCATAGCCCCCACTGCACCTCGATGGCCCCCCACCGCATCCTGATGGCCCCCACTGCATCCCGATGCCTCCACTGGATGCCAATGGCCACCACTGCACCCTGGCCATGGGCACTTGAGTTGCTTCCCCAGCAGGCCAGGGCCATGGGATGCCTGCTCCTCTGCCAGCCTCCTGCCTCTCCCACCCGTCCAGTTCCTCCTCCCTGTCTGCGTGCTGGTGCTAGGTTCCCTGGGAGTCAGTCCTCAGCTCTCTCCTCTACACATGCCCCCAGGAGGCTCTCCACCACAGGGACCCCCCACTGTCGCCACACCCCAAGTATTCTCAGCTGGAATCTCCACTCCAAACCTCCCTCCTCTGATGCAGACTGAAGGCACGTGCCAAGTGCCCCAGAATTTGAATCCATTCTGTGGCGCACAGGGTGCCAGTTACACCCTGAGTCTGCAGTCAGACAGACGAGCTCTCCTGCACTTCTGTGAACGTGCCTGAGCCTCCATTATCGCATCTGCAAAATGGGGCAATGGGGAGGGAGCTCAGCCATAATAGTCCTGAAGCAAGGAGGCCCCCTATGCCTCCCTGCACGTGGAACAAGCCAAGCGCAGGCCTGGTGGGACCCAGGGCTGTCCCAGGACTGTCCCCATGGCCACTGTCCAGTCGGCTCCTCGCTCAGGGCCCATTTTAAGTCATTGACACTTTGCCGTAAGAAGCGACTGTTCACAGAAAGGAGAGCGTCCCGGGGACAAGAGCTGCCAGGACGCTTCCCAAAAGTCAGAGGGCCAGGATTCGAACCACATCAGCAGAGGGGCGGGCAAATCACTGTCACCGGCAGTGCAGGCCATGCACGGGCCAGGCACAGAACGGGCACAGGGCTGCTGCTGAGACGGTGTCCTCGGAGGAATCAGCCTGTGGGAGGCGAGACCACCAAAGATTTTCCGAGTCTGGCCGAGCAGCCTGGAGGAGGCAGGAGGTCAAGGAAGCCTGTGGATTGTGGGACAGGGAAAGCAAGGCTGAAAACCAGCTGGAAAGATCCCGGACCCCGGAAAGCAGGACAGCAGCCACCGCCGGGCCAGAGACCAGGCACGCAGGTCCGGAGGAGGTGGACGTGCACAGGCCTCGGTGGCGGGTGCCCAGGGCGCGGGATGCGGGTCCCCGGAGGAAGGGTCCGTCTGTTCCACCACAAGAGAAAACCTCCCTCTCTGGAATGCACACTTGGGTCCGAAATGTAAACTTGCAACCCGACTCCCTCCATCCCCCTCGGAAGCGACAAAGAGCCGCGGAGAGAAAAACAAGGCCCCCCCTCTCCCGGACGGGTCTCCGGGCCCGGGGCCGCCGGGCCTTCTCGGCGAGGTCCCACACGGTCCCCGGCAAGACCGCCGAGGCTCTCGGGGCGCCGGCCGCCCGGGTCGCGCGCGCTCCTCCCCGCCGGGAAAGGGCGGAATTCTCTGCTCGGACCGCGCCGACCTGAGCCCGCCCACCCAGTGCCCGGACGCGGGGCGCAAGTTCATCCAAGAAGCAGAAGCCACCGCCGGACAGTGACCCCCGGGCTTCCCTGCCTGGCCCAGACGCGCCGGTGGCAGCGGCCGGAGCCGGGGAGTCGGGGCCGCCCGGGGGGCTCCGCCGCGGGGGTCCTGAGGAGCGGGCGTCGGAGGGGATCCCCTGGGGAGGGACGCCCCCGACCCCATTCCCACCGCACCCCCGCGGGTCCCGGGCCCGGATCCCCGGGCCTGGAGCGGGCGCTGCCGGGGGCTCGAAAAATCGGGACGGCCGGGGGCGCCGGGCACTGCGCGCGGGCGCGGGCGGAAGCGCCTCTCCCCGGCCCGGCGGCCGCTCGGGGCGGCAGCAACAGGCGCCCGGCGCTCCCGCCCCCCCTTCCGGAGCCAGGGCTTGGGGCGAGAGGCGCGGCGGCGGCGCTGCTCACCCACGCCGTACTTCTCCTCGCGCTTGGTGGGCACCCAGCGCGTCATGGCGCCGCCGGAGCCGCCGCGGGTCGGGCAGGAAACTCCGCGTCTAGGCCGCCATTTTCCATTCCTTTCGAGCCGCGACAGGATGGGGAGGAAAAAGTTTGCGGCGGAGGCGGCGTCATGTGGGACGGGGCGGGCGGAGCGTCGCGGGCCGGATGGGAAAGGCCGGGAGCGCTGGCGGGAGGCGGGACGGCCTTGGACTCTGCTCCCGCCCTCGGCTCGGACCCTCAGCCCGGACCCCGCGGCCGCCGGGGCGCCCCTTCCTCGGCCCCCGCGCGCCCAACCCCGCGCCCCGCACCCTGGCAACGCAGCGGGGGTCTCGTGGGTCCCTGGAGCTCCCGGGACTGGCGGTCACGCCGTGAGAACAGTGCGCCCTGGGGGGCGGGACGGGCTGGGGCTTCCACGCGATGTAGGAAAAGGGCGGCTTGCCCGGCGCGGACTTAGGCCGGAGCCTGGTGGTGCGAGGTCCCTGGCTCGGATTTCTCCCGAACCAACCGGCCGAGGCCCTAGGAAGGGCCCTCCTGAGCACGTGGCTCGTTCATTCATTCGACAAACATTACCTGAGCACCCGCCCACCCATTGCCCGAGTGTGCTGGGAGCGCCGCACCGGCCGGCTGGCAGGTGGGAAAAGGGACGCCTCGGGTAACAGCACGGGTAAGTGCCAGACACGCAAGTGGGGTGGAAAGAGGTGGCACAGCGCTGCTAGGGAGTGCGTTCCGAACAGGTGACCTCTTGCTTGGGTTCTGAATGAGTGGAGTTTTCCAGAGAGGCCAGGAGGAAGCAGCCCAAACCTCAGCCCAGCTGGGCTTGCAGAAGCTAGTGCTAGAATAGTTGTGGGACTCAGATCAGCTGAAGTAGAGGGGAGAGGGAAGCAGGGAAAGGAAAGCCCAGGCCACGCGTGGGACTCAGGAAAGGCATCCTCGCCCCTGGTGGGAGTTCTTCTCAGGCTTTGGTGTTTCCCATGCCAGTAAAAGGTAGGGGCTTCAGATTTCTCCAAGGAAAAAGTTAAAGCAACACACACCTATTTATTTTTATGGTAATTTCCTAAAAGAAAAGAGGCTAAAACCAAGAAATGGGCAAAGCCTCCGAATGAAGGCGGCCCTTTAAATGAAATGAATTTGGTTTCATGGCACATTAAGGGAATGTATTCTCTCATGGTACATTGATGGGGTATCTTCTCTCCCAAGACACGGAGACAACTGCAGTAGGTCTCAGGCCTCCTTCGATTGGAGGAACGAAGGGAAGAAAACGAAGAAGGCTCTGTGGGGTAGGGACAGTGCTGAATAGCAGGACTGGGGTACCCGCAGGGTGTGTGGGAAGGGCCAGGACTGGGACACCTGCAGGCTCTGTGGGAAGGGCCAGGTGGGCCACCATCTTTCGGTAGAGAATGCCTGTCACCTGCCCTAGGGAACACCCAGAATGCAGATGAAATAAGCATTTGGGAATGGCAGAGGAGCTTTTCCATTTTTGTGGGTTAGAGGGAACCTGCCGCGTTCAAGAGGATAACGTGGGACCTGAGCATTCTCATTAAGTCAACCCCACTTTCATGGAAAGCCACAGGCACTGTTTTACTGATAAGGAACTGAAATCCCACAGGGGAAGTGGCCAGGCTCACACACACACAGCATGCACTTGAAGCTTTCTGTGGAAACCAGAAACCTCAGGGCCTCAGGCGCTATAGTAGCAGCCTGGTGGCTCTGACCCCTTGAAGGAGAAGCATCTGTGAAGGTGCTGTTCAGGAGAAGTAGGATGCTCTATGATAAAGGACATGGTGGCCTGACCTGCTCCAGAGCAGGGAGGGCTCCCTTGAGGAAGTAAGATAAACCAAGATGGCTGGGTATGGTGGGTTACGCCTATAATCCCAGCACTTTGGGAGGCCGAGGCAGGTGGATCACGAGGTTAAGAGATTGAGACCATCCTGGTCAACAAGGTGAAACCCCGTCTCTACTAAAAATACAAAAATTAGCTGGGCTTGGTGGTACGCGCCTGTAGTCCCAGCTACTCGGGAGGCTGAGGCAGGAGAATTGCCTGAACCCAGGAGGCGGAGGTTGCGGTGAGCCGAGATCGTGCCATTGCACTCCAGCCTGGGTAACAACAGCCAAACTCCATTTCAAAAAAAAAAAAAAAATACAAAAAATTAGCCAGGTGTGGTGGCACGTGCCTGTAATCCCAGCTACTCAGGAGGCTAAGGCAGGAGAATCACTTGAATCTGGGAGAGGGGTTTGTGGTGAGCCAACATGTCACACCACTGCACTCCAGCCTGGTGACAGAGTTAGACTGTGTCTCAAAAAAAAAAAAAAAAAAAGGTAAACCCAGACTTTAAGGATAAGCAGAAACCAGCTAGGTGAAGTGGAATAGGAACAGCACGTGCAGAGGCCCTGGGGTAGGACGGAACACCAGTCCTTCAAAGCACTGAGAGGCCAGAGGGCTGAAGCATAGGGAACAACAGCAAAGTGACACAAATTGAGGCTGCTGAGGTAGAAGAAGGGCCTTAGTCATCTTGCTAGGAATTTGGAATTCTGCAGAGAAGCCTGGAAAACAGCTTTTGGTGACACTCGCCTTCTCTTTAACGTCCAGTTTCAATTCTGTTTGTGTGATTCTGCGTTGGAGAGGGTGTGCCGTAATGAATGGCCAGGAGCTTAAGAGTCATGTAGACATGGGAGGCCGGCCTTGCCGTGGCCGGCTGCGTGACCATCCTCCTGCTTCTGGCCATTCTGTTTCTAACCCTTGGGGTTCTGATCTTCCTACATATAAACGAAGGGTTGTAATATGAACCTGACAGGTCAGTATTAGGATTTTAGGAGGAGGTGTGACTGCATGTGTAACACGTCGTAATGCCGGTCAGATGTGCTTCCTCATCTGACCCTACCTCCAGGTTCTTTGGTAACCACGTGGTTCGCATTTGCTAGAGCAGTTACCACGTTCACTCCGATAAAGGTGACTCACTGAATGCATAAATAAGTGTAGTGCAGGATTTGCACACTTTTGGAAGACTGTCATATAATAAATGTATAAATCAGAATTTTAAAACTCCAGTTGGGGCCAGGCATGGTGGCTCACGCCTGTAATCCTAGCGTTTTGGGAGGGTGAGGCAGGAGGATCGCTTGAGGTCAGTAGCTCGAGGCCAGCCTGTCCAAACAGAGTTTTAATAGAAATCCTTTCTCTACTAAAAAGACAAAAAATAGCTGGGTGTGGTGGCGCACACCTTTAGTCTTAGCTTCTCAGGAGGCTGAGGCAGGAGAATTGCTTGAAACCAGGAGGCGAAGGTTGCAGTGAACCGAGATTGCGCCGCTGCGCTCCAGCCTGGGCAACAGAGTGAGACTCTATCTCAAAAAACAAAGAAACAAACAAACAAACAAAACCGACTCTAGGTGGACCACAGGCCGGGTTTTTGTCATTGTAGCTTCAGTCTCTTGATTGCAACGCATGCCCAAGTTTGGCTGAGGTGTACCTATGGCCATAGTCCTTGAAGCTCTGAGAAGATTCATCAGCACCCCCAGGCTGCTCGGGCGGTGTGGCTCTAAATCAAGCCCATGGCCCTGGCTCACTGTCCCGTGTTGCATAAGCTCAGGATTGGCTTTGTCTCTGATTCCAGGAGCCCTGGAGGTTGTGGCCCGTTCGTATTTTTACTTCCTGAGTCAGTGTGGCTGGGCCACAGGCCTCAGTTGCCCTCCCAGGCATCACGTAGGACTTGGGTCTGTGTCATGCTTATGGGTGTGGCCGGCCCAGGAATGCTGAGGCTCTCAATAGCCCAGTGCTGCCCATCACTGGGATTTCAGAGCAGTGACCCCCTTCCTCCAAGATACCACAGAATCTTGCTTTGGAGTCATGAAGAATATCCTCAGTGTTAACAGTTTTAAAGTTTTAAATCTTGAAAATTACAGTCTTAATTTTTTTAATTCAAAAAAATGTCACACATTTGCACTGCAAATTCAGGAGGTAAACTCACCAAAATCTTGCCTGGTGGAGGTACCAGGAGGCACAGTGAGTCAGTGGGGCATGTTTCTCGGTTGAGAGGGACAGATGAAAACGGAGCAGGGATGTGGAGATTTTATGCAGGAAAAGGGGCCTGACTAGAGATTGCTTGCCCTTTGAAAGGGGAGGAACACCATCTTGCAGCAAGGCCCAGCCCCACTGCCTTTGGGTTCCAGTGGCAGATCTGGGCATCATATTGGATGACCAGGCATGTGGTCACAATGCACAGTGCCACATAGCCCAAAAGTGTGGTGTATTCATGACTTTAGACCCAACTTCCAGTTTATAGGAAATAGAAGAGATTGAGGAAAAACTTACAGGAAATAGAAGAGGTTGAGGAACATCATTAAGAAATACAGCGAAACAGGCCAGGCACGGTGGCTCATGCCTGTAATTTCAGCACTTTGCAAGGCCGAGACGGGCAGATCACCTGAAGTCAGGAGTTCGAGACTTGTCTGGCCAACGCGGTGAAACCCCCTCTCTACTGAAAATACAAAAGTTATCTGGGCGTGGTGTCAGGCAACTGTAAGTCCAGCAACTTAGGAGGCTGAGGCAGGAGACGTGCTTGAACCTAGGAGGCAGAGGTTGCAGAGAGCATGCCATTGCATTCCAGCCTGCGCAACAAGAGTGAAACAAAGTCAGAAGGTGGGATATTCTTTCAGGTAGTAGTCTGGTCTCTTCAATAGTCAATATTATAGAGCAAGAAGGGGCTAGTGGAGAGGAACTGTTCTATATTTTAAAAGATGTAAGAAATATAACATTTAAATGAATTGTGTTGTCCTTGATTGGAAACTGCTTTTAATTATCCAACACTAAAAAATGTCAAGGATAGGAGGTGGTTTGAACTGTGGGCTGATATTAGATGATATTTTTTAAAGTTTTTATTTTGTTAAGTGTAATAATAGTTGTTCTCATGGTTAGGTGGGGAAAGATCCATAAATTTTAGAGATGGCGCTGGAGTATTTAGAAGTGAATCGTCATTGTGTTTCTTATTTACTTTAAAATACTATAGGAATAAACAAGATGAAGAAAAATTGCTCATTCTAGGCATGGGTCTATGAGTGTTTCATCTTTCTACATTTTTCTCCATGTTTGACATTTTTTGTAAAATAAAGTTAAAGTGGGGGGAGGAGGAGCTTGTGATCGAAAAATCAGTTGAGAAGCAGTCACCGTGACTGGCTTCCCTCTAATCACCTGGACTCTGCCTCCACACTCCAGGTGCACTGCTCACCATTCTCCAAGAAGATCATTAAGGCGGACCTTAGGTGTTAAATTTCAATGAGTTTCATCAAGCAAATATGCTATTAAATAGAGAACGCTGTGTGCTGCATCAGTGTGCCTTATGAGCAAATGTAGTGGTGACTAAATGCAGACCAAGCAGTCCTTCCCATACTGTGTACACAAAGAAATGAGCTCTGGGACTGGGGGCCAGGACGTCTGCAGGAGAATTCTGAAGTGGGAGGAGGCCTGGATGTTCGTTGCCAGGCCTTGTCCCTGGAGCCTGGATGCTCTCAGACCTCCCACCTCTGGGCCTCGGGGTCCAGGACAGTGCCAAGGAGAGTTCATACAAACAGATGTGATCAAGACCTTGGCAGCTGTCTGACTCTGAGACAGTTACCTAGCCGCTCTACATTTTCTTTTCTTTCTTTCTTTTCATTTTTTTTTTTAAATTTTACTTC